CAATCAAATAAGCCATCACATGGTTTTCTTAACATTTTGAATGAATTCAGCCATTGGTTCAGAAGACTAGTGCTTAAGAAAACATGCTTAGCATGTTATAAGAACCTAGCCAATGATGATTGTTTTGGTTAATGATGGCTCAACAGACTTTGGCTTAGTCTGATTTGTGAATTTAGTCACTACCTCAGTTCTGGGTTCTTAGCCTGATTTTTGAACCAAGTTCTGCAATGTGCAGACACGCAGAGCCAGTAATATTCCTGATATATTATATATACTTATACACCCAGAGGGATACAGAAGTATCTGCATATAAATTGAATAAATAAAATATTGCAGAGTTTTCATGTTTCATGACTGAAGGAAGAGAAGTACCTGGGGAAGAGGAGGAGGAGAATGGATTGTCTCATGTAAGATCTAGAAACACTCGCTGAAGAACCTCCTTTTGTAGACTTCTTCATGGTTGCTTTAAAGGGCTTTCCTCCAGCCCCTGCTTACACACTTCATGCTGCCCCTCATTGCTGAGTAAGGAGGCCAGGGAGCAGTGCCATCCTTAGAGTTTTAATGTTGATTTGTAACTTTCTCTAGTTTCATTTGCCCTTCCACCAAACCTCATCAGCTGGAAGGAAAAATAACCACCAATTGCACTCCTGAATGGTGGGCTGGGGGTGGGATTGGGGAGGTGGCAAGTTTTGAGGGAGGGCTGGAGAAGTAGCTCAGTGACCTGTCAAATCTTGCTCTTGTTTTGCAGGCGTGCTTTCAAAAGGAACCTGAGTACCAGTTCTACCATACCACTCTTCTGCAACAGCACAAAACCCATGTCCAAAAGGAACCCGTGCAAAGCGTATTAAACCAAACCTTGACTATCTGTGTGTTGCGTTTGTGGGTGGAGAGTTGGATTCCCCCTCCCCTTCCCAGATTCTACCAGGAATAAGTACCTGAAGGAAACCCCTTTGAAGCCCATGGAGGATGGGCATCAGCAATAGAAACATGCTTCAGGCTGCAGGACTGCCCAATGAGCAAGAACGCTTTTTAACGATGCCATCAAGAATGAGTGTTTGCTTGGGAGAAAGCAATTTACATTCCACGGAAGACCGGTGTCAGCAGTTCAATCCTGTTCCAGGCTACAGGATCACAATCTGGGCAGGCACACTTTGCTTGCCATGTGAGCCATGGTGCAATCCTATGCTTGTTGATTTGAGAGTAAACTGAGCTCAGTGGGGCTTCCTCGCTGATTTCCAGAGGAACCTTCTGCTTCTTACCCTCTGCTTCTATGGAAACCAGGTGCCTGATCTACCTGCAGCCCAGGTCAAAATGGCCACAGATGGCAGGGCTGAGAGACCAGAGGGGAGGAGCCTGCCTGCCTGCCTGCCTGCAGAAGCCGAGAGGGGTGAACCCGTGACTTTAACAATGAGACATCACAAGTCATTCATACAACGAGATTTGTATCAGGAGAAAATGGAAAAGGCAGCTTCTAAACTGGAACTGCTAAATTCAAAGGTATGCTACCACTTTGGCAGGCAGGGAACAAAATAAAAATGTCGTCATAAGGATATGCCCTTTAAAAGCATTTTTCTGACAACTCAGGGATGAGATAAATGTATATTAACACGACCATGAGGAAGTGCAAAGTGATGAATATGTCTGGGGGGGGGGTATCTCCTGCCTCCTCTCTCTCTCTGTATTACCCAGCCCTAATTACAACAAAATCATCAGTTTAATTCATTGCAGGTTGCACAAATGCATTTAACATTTTGGGGGTCACGATAACACAAAATTTGAGAAGCCTTGGTATTAGGGAATCAAAGGTGATGGTGATGTTGACTCATTCTTTTGAATCGTAGCAGGGCCCCCCATGAGCAAGATTAGAGAGCTAGGCAATCTCTCTCTCTCTCTCTCTCACTCACTCACACACATAACTGTACAAATCTTTTGCTTTCCAAGCCTCAGGTCTAATGCTTGCTATCGCCAGAACTGCACAATTACTTCAAGATTCCAGTAACAGTAGAAGGAATGGATAAAACTTTAGGGAAATGACCAAACCAATAATCCTAACCGAGCTAATTGCAAAGCAGTTTGTACAGCTCAACAGAGAAAGTGACATTAAAAATGCAGGGCATATCACTATGTAATCTCCTGACTAGGATTGTTTATTCATCTCCCCTTTCCTCCAAAAAACTCAAAGCAGCAAACTTATTCTTCTCACCACAAGAACCTTGTGAAGTAGACCTTACACCTGGCAGCTGAAGCATGACTTGAAAACCTGGATATTCTCGGTCTTATTTCAGCACTAACCACTGTACCATCCTGGCTCTCTAAAGTTAGTTAGGATGTATTCTAAGCTGAAGGTGGGGGCAGAAAGGCTACACAGAGGTGGAGAAAACTATATTTGGTTAAAACCAAAGAACATATTTTTAAGAGACAGCAATTTACTGTTCCACAAGGCTCTTTGTAATTTTGCTATGACAAATTAATACAGCTACCCCAGCAGAAGGTGATATTAGATGAACTGATATTAAAGAACTGAAACTGATTTGAAAGAAGGATACCAATTTCCCCCCTTTACCTCCAGTCTGACAAGTTTTTCAAGCTAGACCTTTTAAGAAGGATGTGACAGCACGCTGCAAACATCTCTTTTTCAATCCACGTTCAACTTTGAGAAGACGGTAGGGGTTATCTGTCCCCTGCTGGAAAGATTATGAAAAAGAGGATGATACATATACAGATATGTACATAGAGAAAAAAGATTCCTCAGAAATAGAGAGAAATCTCTCTCTTCTCCCATGATAAACATAGGAGCCCATATGTTCCATTGATTTCCCAGCAGTTGGAAGAGACTTGCCTTTTAAAGCACAATAAATTAGGCAATTGTATTCTGATAACTAAGGAAAGAAAAGTTACAGGCCCTGCGGGGGATCACCAGCCAGTAACCTGTTCTGCAGGATGCTGGCATGGGGTGGGGGTTGGGGGAGAAAGACCCTGCTCGTGGGAGGAAGAGAGAATGCCTTACAGTAAGCAGCCATGAACTTTCTCAGCACCCTATGCCAAAGACTGAGCCTCTGTTAGCTGAATGCAAGGTCAGAAGGGCCCCAGCATTTGTTCCACCCCCATTGCAGTCACAAAGGCGTCCCAAGAATGGACAATGGAAATCGCAAATTCTGGGGTCACAGAGCTTTGAGCAAAAGGAGGCCCTTCTGCGAGTCATATTGCTTGGGTGGGTGCATCATCTTCTTGGCCAGCTGCCAGCCATGGGGAGGACCACAGATGTAAGAAAGGAGGACTGCATTTACAGGGCATGCCATGTAAAATGGGTGGGCATCTAAGTTATTGTCCCAACTCAAGTTGCAGGTGGAGCTTAAGTATGATGCCAGGCGCTGGCAGAAAACATTATTTCACTCCCAACAACTCTCCTTCCCTCTTCAAAAATTCTGGGTTCTTGAGGCTTACGTGTTACCATGACTGGCCAAAGAACTGAAGAACGTGACAGTAAGAACCTGCAAGCACCCATAAGCCCATGCCCTCTTCCAAGGCCATCTTTCAGAATCAGTTTAATCTGAATAACTTGTCCTCATCAGTTATCAGCTCCTCCTTTTCCATACTAGAAAACCAAAGTAATGAATGCTAATACTACTTTTATAATGTGGTTACAGCAACGGGATCTCACAAGTTGAAGTACTCGTCCTCCCCACCTTCCCTCTATCTTCCTGAGAACTAGGGAGCATCAAGCCTGAGATGTTATCTCAATTACATTTCTGCTTTGGACTCAAATTGCTGCCGTTGTCTTGGTTGCAGCTCGCCCTCCATTCTTCAAGGTAACTCTTACAGCCTATTACATGGTACTCCTGGTGGAAGAGGACCGGGGGTCATTGCAGCATTGCCTGTGCTTGGCAGGAGGAACTTCAAAGTAACCACCCATTGCAGCAACAGCTCAGACAGCCTTCCCTGCCAGGTATTCACCAGCCAGCTTGGTTCTTTCCATTCCTGGCCAGCACAGGCTCTGCTAACCTGGACTGATGAGAGTTGTGGATCCATATATCTGGAGGATACACGTTTGAGAGCAGCGCTGATCTGGAAAGTTCAGGGCTGTGGATATCGAGGAGCTCAATGATCTTCTTAGCCTAGATCAGCGTTTCTCAAACTTGGCAACTTTCAGATCGGTGGACTTCTACTCCTGGGAGCTGAAGTCCACCCATCTTAAAGTTGCCAAGTTTGAGAAATACTGGACTACTGTAGATGGTCCGCGGCGTGATTTCACCCACTTGGAAACGCGGGGAGCCATTCCTGCCGCCACAGGACTGTCGACGGCGCCATCGGCCGTTCTCACCGCAAATCAGACGTAGCAAAAGGCAGCCGGTGTGAGGAGAGTCGCGGGGAGATGGGGGTGCAGCTCCCACGGCCGGAGCTCCGTTCCTCGGGCGAGGGCCCCGCGCTCCGCTCCTGCCTTACGCCTCTGCTGGCTCCCTCCGGGCGCTGAACTGAGCCCCACCCAGGGACTCTTCAACGCTTGACGTCTGCGGGAGCTACTTCGGACCCGCCGCTTCAGCCAGTTCCTCCCCTTTCGCTTTTGCCGGCGCTCCGCGTTGGAGAGAGGCAGGCGGAGGCAAACGGGGGCAGGAGCAGAGAAGGTAGCCAGCTCCTCGCTCTGCGGTCCTACAGCCGGCCGGCCGGGCAGGCAGCACCGGGAGCTGGCGGGATCTTTCTCTACCGACCGGTTCGCGTCCGGATTCGGAAGTGGCGCTGAGCGGCCGGCGGGGCTGCGGGATCAGGTGGGTTCCACTTCCTTGTCTCTTCTGCCCGTTTTGGAAGCGGGACGTTGTTGCCAACCAGCGAACCGCGCCGAGCTCTGAGCCGGGGTCGCAGGGCTGGTCGGCTTCAAGCTGTTTCTCGCCCGGAGGAGAGACCGTCCTCTCTCTCGGGCCCCTGCTGGGCTGAAGCGACCGGTGTTTGCCGGGGATCTGGAGAGCGAGGAAGAGACGGGAAAAGTGCTTCCCTCTTGTTAGTTGCCCAGCGACAAAAGATCCCCTCTCCCCAACTGTGAATCGGCGTGGACCTGCCTGGGAACCTCTAGATATGTTTGTAACTACCAGAATTCCCGAGTAACTTCTGCCTTGGGTAGGCACCGCTTTGCCCAGCGAAATCTTTATTTGTGCTATTCCACACCTGCAGGCTGAGAGCGAAGGACATAGTCGCACTACTCCCCGGGTAGGGTTTAAAGTGGTCTAAAAGAGGAACTTGCTTGCCTTTGGCAAACCTGAGGGAGAAACTAGGTTCTGGGAAGAGACTTGGACCATGGAATATTAAAGTGGAAGGAGTGTTAAGGTCACGTGGTTCTTCACCATCTCTCCTCCCTCCCTTCCCATTTCACAGCCATGCAAAACCTGCCCATCTTAGCTTTTGAGGAGTGAAAGGAGTGAAAGTCCTGGATTAGGACCTAGTAAGATCTAGGATCTAAGATCTAGGATCTTAGATCCTGGTGGTCCTACCAATAGGGCATCAAGATCTTGCAGGCTGAGGGTGAAGTTAGAAGGCATACTCCCAGGTTAACATATTACTTCTGAACAGCAATGGCAGTAATCCTGGAGGAGCCAACGATGGGGTTGAATGGCCTGTCCACTTTGAGATGAGGAGATATGTCTCTGTAGCCACAGAAATGGTGGGCCAGATCATGGGAGTAGGAAGGTTGAAGAGGAGCAGGTCCCTTCCTGCAGGTGACACCTTCATCAGCTGCTGGCTTCCATCTCTCTGATGGAGAGGGCTTCCATCTGCATTCACTGCTTAGAAATCTTATTTTTAGAAACCAGATGAATATTCCCAGCATCAGCATTTCTCCCTGCAAAGCCACTGAAGCCAGCCTGAGTGGAAGGAGGCCAGGCCTTTGTGGGAGAGGGGCATATTATTTTGGGATGGGGGGTTGGAGGAACATAGTATTTGCTTCCTTCCTTTCCTTCTGCCTTTAATTTTGTATTTTATTACATAGAGTAAGGATCTGAGATCTAACGCTGATGTGGGCTGACATCACTGAGTCAATACTAGCTTCTCTAATAGCTCTCCTATTTTACTGCGTTCATGTGTGATTATTGGAGGAAAGATAGAATCATAGAACTGGAGGGATTTTCAGGGTCATCTAATTAACTTACTGCTTGATGCAAAAAGTTCTGAACAGAAGCATCTCCAACAGATGACTGGATAGTCACTGCCTGAAGATCTCCTGAGAGAGAACAGAAGAAAAGAACATTATTTTCTCTTTTTTGTTTATTGTCAAACTCCTTTGTGTAATTAGTTTCACTGCTGAATCTTCGTTCTGTAAAGGTAAAGACCCCCTTGAGTCAAGTCTGACTTCTGGTGACTGCTTGGACATGTCTATATAGTTTTCGTAGCAATGATATGGAAGTAGTTTGCTGTTGTTTTCTCCCAGGATGTTTCTCAACTTCCCAATTGAGCCTGTAGCCCTGGAATTTCCTGGTGGTTGCCCATCTAAGTATTAACTAGATCTGGCTCTTTAAGATCAGCTAAGAGCCACTATCTGCTAGAGATATCTCCTAATATTTGAGCTAACTTCCAGAATTTAAATTCTGTCCTATAGAACAGGGTTCCTTAACCTTGGCAACTTTAAGATGGGTGGACTTCAACTTGCTGGCTGGGGAATTCTGGGAGTTGAAGTCCACCCGTCTTAAAGCTGCCAAGGTTGAGGAACCCTGCTGTAGAACATCTGAGAGTAATCCTTGTCATATGGGACAGTCCTTTCGGCTTTTGAAGACATGCCCATCCTGCCTCTGGTTCACGTATATCTAGGTCTTTTAGCATTTGCTCATGGGGCATGTTTCCAATAAATCTGACAGCTTTCACTTTCCTCCTCTGAACATATTCCTATTCCTTTGCATCTTTCTTAAATACATAGCCCAAACTAACCACAACACTCCAGTTGAGATTTGTCTTGTACAAAATAAAGTGAAACTATTAGTTTGATTTAGAAATTACAGCAACCTAAAACTGCATGAGCCTTTTTGACTGATACTTTCTTCCTGGTGTGATCAGCTGCAGTTTTATCTGAAATTCTGTATTGTTGCCTGATGGGGTATTCCTCAGTCTGTACAAATACACTTTATTTTATTTTTTAAAACTTTTTTTTTTTACTTTATCCAACCCAGTTTTATGACATCTGGCATTAAAGATTCATTTTGAAAGATATTGGACCCGGCATGCAGTCCTGTAAATAACCCACTCAAAGCCTGCTTACGGTTTGATAAAGAATCATTTATAACCACTATCTGGATATTATTTTCCAGGCCATTGGGAGTTAACCAGGCAATGTTATTACCGGCATTATACCAGGATTTTCCAGTCCTTGCATAAAAAATGGCCATGGGAGACAGATACCAGCACTCTTCAGAGAGTTGAAGGGCATTTGAAAGAATACAGATTGGCTGTGGAGTATTCAAACAACCAGGCCCTTCCAAGTCAAGAACATTCTCATCGTCAAATAAGATATATGTATATTGCAGCTGGGACAGGCTAGATCAGTGTTTCTCAATCTCAGCAACTTTAAGATGGGTGGACTTCAACTCCCAGAATTCCCCAGCCAGGTCTTACCTTCTTAGCATCTGAATATATTAATCTAGTTAAAGCTAATCTACATTTGGCAATAATGGCTTGGATATTTCTTTTAGATTCTAGGTTAAGATCCTGTACATTAGGAGATAATTAATTCTGTTACTTGGTTTATTATCATAATAAAGTTGAGCCTGGCTTTATCACATTTGCATAAAGATTCTTCTTGCATTACTCAAACAGGGCACTGCCCACTTGAGTCTAGTTCCTGGTGAGGGCATTCACACAATTTTCTTGGCAATAGTACAGCAGTAGTATGCCCTTTATTAGGAGGCTTTTTAAACTGTGCAATCCAACCTACAGCCCTGCGATAAGGTAGGGGCCCATCCATGTACTATCCATGGCTGAGCTTGCTTAGTTTCTAAAATCAGCCAAGGTCAGCTAGATGCTGCCACCTGCTGAGAACTTACATTATGTACTTCCACATAAGCCCTTATATGGGCCAATTCATTGGAGTCACAACCTTTCCCCTGTAAAACAGAGCATTGCCTAATAGAACTTCATGCATCTCCTTTTTCCATCTGCTTGATCTCCTTCTCTGTGGAGAGGAAGGAGGCCCAGCACTCAGGAGTATGCCTTACCAGCTGACGTCTGTTCAGCTTGTCACCCGGTCCATGTACAGTAATAAACAGGCTTCCAGCAGTTTTTCTGGCATTGCTTCTTTCTCTGGCAGCATCGTGACTATGAATCTTTCATTTAAAGAGACAGTGCATGTACGTTTCAGACTGAGCTGGAGAGCAAACAAATCCATCCCCATAGTAGCAATCATTTCAAGGATTCTGTTATCAATGGACGATCAGCCAGTGAGAAAACATGAAATTTGTCAGGCAGAGTGACATCAGAGTTATCTGTCTGCTTGTAAAGAGCCTCAGAAACTGCAGAAGAAACCTCAGGGGGAGACAGAGTACAGTGCAATGAGGTCTGAAGGCTGGAGTTGTCCCTGGAGAAAAATTGGCCATTAGAGTCAGTAGTCAGATTTTTTATGCAAACAGAGCCTTTCTAGACAAATGACCCTCCCCTTGAGCTCCCACTTCAGTGCACACCAACTCAGTGCATTTTTTTCCATTCTGGGGTATGTGTGATGAAGCCCAAAGAAGATTTTGTGTTAATTTAAAAATTTGTACACTACTCTTCAAAATGGAGTTTTTTCTGGGGTCTTTCAATACACTGAAACCACTATCTATACAATATATGAACAATGGATCCACCATAGCAGATAGATTAGTTTGAAAGGTTCCAGGCAACTCATACATTAAGCATATTTTACATACATTGAAAACAAAGGCTGAGCCTGGGATCTTAGAGACCCTGGAGAAGGCTTTCCAAGGGGAAGGACAACCTCTGAGGGGTCCAGCTCACAGGTTGCCACTTTCCATCCTGGAAGAAATCCCTGGGATGATGATGATGATTTACCTGATTAATGTTACTGCCTTGAATTTTAAAATATTGATCCATTTAATTATTTCAAATATTAAAGGCTGCCTCTATGAAAAACAGCCCTGGGTACCAAAGAGTAATGGCTAGGGAGGTTTTGGTCTTTAGGGCTCAGAAAATAAATAGATTGCAAATGCAATCAAAAATTCTTCTCCTCCCCAAGCATCTCCCTGTCAAAACCTGATAAAGATGAAGAAAACCAAATCCTCTGAGAATATTGGAACCTGTTTGGTCCACTGACTCAATTTTCCTAAATACCTCCTTGTAGTCTTCCCCAAGCTGGCACCCCCAGACATGTTGGGTCTGCAAGCCCCAGAATTCCCAACCAGCATGATCAAAAGCTACAATCAAAAGTGATTTTGCTAGACATTCTGGGGAATGGAGTCCTAATGCATCTGAAGAGTGCCAGTCTGGGGAAGAATAAATCGGGGGCTCCACATTCAAGGTAGACAATGGTCATGTGATAATGTTCTCATCATGGCCTCTAGAGGGCAGTGGTGGATATTAGAAATACAAGTGAGCATCAGTAATGTTGAGCACTGATTATTATAGACGTACAGTCAGGTACAGAAATATTGGGACATCGACACAATTCTAACATCTTTGGCTCTATACACCACCACAATGGATTGATCTCATCTTGAGAGTTGACAGCAACAGATTCCAAAGATCTCATCTTGAGAGTTGACAGCAACAGATTCCAAAGATCTCATCTTGAGAGTTG